GGCTTTGCACGTAGCGACAAAGTCTATTGATAGCATATTTGTCGGAATACTCGAGTGGTATTATATCACAAGCTTTCTGTAGCAGTAATAACAATTGGTGGTTAACATATATCTTCTATTCCTTCCTCTGACTACAGGAAACACGTATAAACAGCAGTTGTCTCTCTCTCCTGACGCCATTCCTAAACAGGTAACTCATTACTCATCAACATAATTAGTCATCATTTACAAGATAATACATGAAAGGTCATAAAGTCATTAGGTCATTCAACAATATTGTATATCAGGTCTTGTCATATTTGCAATATGTAGTAGGGTGCCGACAGCGGATCGGTATACAATAGCATCAGATTTCGAGCACAATTTTTCCGTGTCACGATCGATTAGATTATCATCAGATATTGGTGTACTTGCGCCTTTACAGTGGATCATACCCATATCTTCACAAAGAGCATCGATTTTGTCTTGCTGATTGATATGTATGCCATCAGAACCTTTTTGGATTTTAATGCCTAGAAATTTGGTCATGTCACCAAGATCTTTTAGTTTGAAAGCTTTAGCCAATGATGCGATAGCCTCATCGATTTTAGAGCGAGATGCGGATATAATCATGAAATCATCAACGTATGTAGAGATTATTGTTTCAGCACGACGAAATACATTCGAGTCGGTTTTAAGTGGATGAAATCCCATATCATGAAGGACTTGTCGAAGCTTAAGCTGCCATCGTTTAGGTGCTGTTTTCAGGCCGTAGATAGCTTTTTGTAACTTGCATACTAAATTCCCCGACTGTTCGCGACCATGAGTCTGTTCAATATATATGGGTCGATCAATATCGGCGTGAAGAAAAGCAGCCGTAATATCAACATGACGGATATGAAGACTATTGGTGGCTGCAAAGGCTAGTAGCATACGCATCGTAGTGGGAGGGAGAACGTCAGCATAAGTGTCCTCAGCAAATGGCTCCGAGAAGCCGCGAGCACACCATCTTGCTTTGAATTGACCATCAGACTTCTCTTTTAGAGCCCATTTACCAGTCATTATTCTCCCATTTGCCTGAGACCGAGGTACCAAAGTCCAAACATTATTGCGACTCATATTATCAAGTTCTCGGTCAATGGCTTCGCTCCATTCTCGAGCTTTAGGACTAGAAAGGACTGTCTCAATTACACGCCGGATATTCATACGGAGTGTAAGGATATGCTGTTTGAGAGGAAAAACATTTTCGTGAACGCGGATATCATGGCGAATGACTGTTCTACCAGTTTCAGGATTTAGAATGATGTTACCCCCAGAGAATTCTGTGCCAACATAGATTCCTTCTTTTGCTTTGGAGTTAAGCTTATCCTGATCAGGATCTAGCCAGAAAGCACGACAACCGAAAGGATGAAGATGTTTGATGTCAGGCATCTTTTGAAATACTGCATAATATGATGAATTTGGAGCTATGCTGTTTGGGGTTATATTCAGTGAGGTTATAGAAGCAGTAAGAATGATAGGCCACAGACACAATGGTAAATCTGACTGTAAGTGGAGCTCTCGCATCTTTTCAGTGACTGTACGAACGTTTCTTTCAACAATTCCATTTTGCTCTGGAGCATGTGACGATGACCTATGCCATTCAATGCCACGAGAAAGAAGTTCTTGAAGTTCTGAGTTTAAGAATTTGGTACCACTATCTGTGTGAAGATCCTTTGGAATTTTTACAAATTTTGTCTTCAGGTGTTGTAGAAAATGACAAATTTGAGTTGGCACAGTTTTCTTAGAGTAGACCGGCCAAGCCCATTTCCAAGAGGTGAATTCATCAACTGCAAGAAGGAACCAAGTAGCATCAGGAACTGATTTGTCTATGGTTGTGGTAGATAGAGATTTCTGACCATCAACTAGATCCATATGAATACCCTCACCAAGAGAGGAAGCGGTGCGTAGGGAACCATGTCCCTTGCATTTGGTTATTTTTGTTTTAGTGCATATCTCACATTCAAGAGGAAACCTATAAACTTTAATTCCAGCGGATTTTAGCATAGCATTTTGAGCTTTCTGCCCAGGATGGCCAGGTATACTGTGCTAGTCACGAATTACTAATATGTTGTGTGTTTTCATAGGGTCGATAACATAAGGTTTGCAGATTAATCTGCCAGATATTCGGTGGAATTTAGCACAGATTGTACCATCTGGGCGAATAAGTTCGACGTCACGGTAGCCTGGAGGCCATTTCATAGAGCCCCTGCTTTTCTAGCTGCTCTGTTGAGAGGATTCGATGAATTTGACCTGGCATGTGTACTGCACCTTTTAATAATTCAGTTTTGTTGTCAATGGATGGGAATTTAAGATCACCACAGCCGGCAGTTGTTACTCTACCGCCTCCTGCAACACGAACGGTATTGTTAGTATTCAAATAAGATGAAAAATCATGTTCATTTCCAGATACGTGAAAGTCTGCAACTGTGTCTAACTGAAAAGCGGAATTATCAGAAGTGCTATTTAGGGACAAAACCTTGTTCTTTGAGGACCTATTATTTTGCCGTGAGGTCTCTATCGCAATTTTCTTTTTCTTCCTACATTCACTTTCTTTGTGTCCTTTAATACCACAAAAGTTACATGTCACAAAAATTTTCTTGAAGCCAACTGATCTTGAATTTGAATTAGTAGAAGACCATCTAAGACATTCAGAAATCATTCCTTAAAGACCATGATCCCGACAACGATTGGCAAGGTCCGGCTGCAAACTGTTTATATGGTGCAGAAAGAGGTATTTCATTTGTTGTTCTACCTCTGCCGTAATGGAAGTGTACTCTCTGAGATCTTGAAAACGCTTTTGATATTCCTTCATAAAAGCTTCAATAGTCATGCCTTTGTCGGGTTGGAAGGTCCAGAATTGGTGAGTGATATTCATGAGATTAATTTACCTCTTCGCGAGCGATGCAGTAGCAATTGTGGTGAGAATCATCAAAGGAGAATCGCGAGGAGCTGTTATTATGTGAGGCGCTACTGCCTTCAGTTTTGCAACCCACCAGACCGACCACATGATTGCGGTTTATTGTTCGGAGGACTGGATAGGAAAGCGGCCAATGTCTCGGTGAGAAGCATGAGACGCTGAGTAAACTCACACCAATGAAGCCAGTTTTATGATTTTAGAATTGGAACAGGCACAATTTTCTCGATGTTACCCAGGCGTTCTGACCAAGTCCAGATTTCAGTCTTTCTACTAGATTCTTTTACCGAGGATTGAACGTCCTCAGCGGATGCGAAAATAAGGCCCGTTGATAATGATGCCGCCGCCGAAGGAACCAACGTCTGATGAAGATTCTTGATGTTCTACATTTGCCTCTGATGAGGGCTTAATTTTAAAAGACGACATTGTTTAAATGTGCGTTAGTTGCTACGTGCACAGTTGTGTACGTGAAGACGAGAGCGCGAAAACCGATGTCGTTCGATTTCAATAGAAAATAACGGACGCTGTGTTTGCAGTGGAAGTGACTAGAGGGCCATAGCCTGATGTGCAAGAAGCATGAATATTACATCAAGTGTTGTTAACTAATTATAAATACAGTTTATGACGTGATAGATCACGTGATATATGTAGTACCCACAACAGAGATGCATCACTCTATGTGCAAAGCAAATTAAACTACATTCCGACAAAACAAGATATATCGGGATCCGGACCAAACAGTATTTCTTCCAACTTTGATTTCAGTTCTTGATTTATGTTTTTGATTTTAGTTTTGCTGTTAACTTCTACAATTTCAGTAGAAGTTCATGCGGTTGGAATGAGTTGGGCCTGTACGCAGTGATCCTTGCCGGCTCCACCGGTCCTTGACCCAATGTGGAAAAGATAGCGTTAGCTTAGGACCAAAAGTTTAAAAAAAAAAAAAAAAAACAAGATATATAGTGCAGTTAACTAGCCTTATTCATGCCAGTCTACATCCTACTGAATCTTCATGGATGAATATTAAGTAATTGATAACCTCGCGTTTAGTAGATAAGATAGTCTAGGTGACTATGTCAAGTGTAAAATTCAAGTTTACAAACTCACTTTGATGGAGCCAAGCTCGCTGTGATGAAATTCGATATGTTGAACTTGATTATATTAGATTTTTGTTATAGTCCCTACTGAGTGTAAGACTATGGAGGACTTTGACATGTTGAACTAATTAATGAAGAAAGAGAACTACTACTACTAAAGAAAGCTACTTATAATTCTTTCTAACTCATCCTTTCCTTCATTATCAGATGATTCTTTAACCAGAAGTCATTTCATTCTAATTCATACGTCACCTTAGTTCAGCCCACAAGTGGGCTTGTTCCTCACCATCCATGAGAGAAAAGCGTAAAGTTAAACAGTTGGAACTTAAACATGTAGCTAGTATCTTATTTATAGATTCTAGGAGTCCTCAGTAGTCATTGACTCAGTTGGGATTATAATAAAAATCTAATCTAATCTAATCAGCCCAAAATTCATCTAAGATGTTACCTTATGCGTCATTCCCATGATTTAGAAATGATGTAACCGCCTTCGATCTTACTTAGGTGCCCACCTAAGCTACAACACCGTCAACCTGTAACACTCAGGATTAGAAGGAATGACTAATCCAGACCCCACGAAATTAGATAAATGGCACTTTTTTTGCAGAGCAGTAATCTGTTTTTTACCTTGCAATAAGAGACGATTGATGCGGGATAGAGTAGTGCAGTGGTACATCTGTATTGACTGTTCTCAATAGTAACAGGTAACCAAGGTGCCGTCATTATACGATTAGGGACTTTTCCAACCTCAGTTAAAAATTAATAATCTCTAGCACGAAACTTTTGGATGATTACTATAAATCTTTGAGTACATGGCTAAAAAATTCACTCAGGTTCAGGTGAACTATGCCTTGTTAGAATTGTTTGAGCTAAAATTCTGGGCGTTTAAGGGTCTCATCAGTGGGATATCCAAATTAAGCAGCCAAGTCAGTGTAATTATTTTCGTCCCTAGCAACCATAAGAACTCTAAGCTACATGATAAAGCGTAAATTGGTATCTAAGAGAAGGTTAGCTTTTGTCTTCGAAATTCTAGATTTTTTCTCATCTAGTTGTTAAAAATTTCTAAAGGGTATTAGGTTACCTAGAGGATGGCTACAACTAAGTTGCGGCTTCTGGGTGTATTTTGTAGCCAGAACATCACGTATGCTGTTTAGAAGTTGAAGGTAGCTCTGATTTGGGTTCGCTTTCATGGCCGAAATAAACGCCCATGACATTGCTCCGGTTGCTTGAGAAGCGATAGTTGCATCAGCCGATGTTTGATCGTCTTTACTTCCCGAAAACATGATAACGTCAGCTGGAGATGTCTTTGTCGCCATACTCTTCTGATGAGCGCCACTACCACTAGTTGCCTTTTCAAAGAATCCCATGAGATGCTTAGCAACACCACCATAGTCTTCTTTGCTAGCTGAAGAGATTATGCCTAACAGGCCTTGTCCAGCTTCTTTTGCCAAATTAGGTTCCTTGAGGGTACCATGCGTCGAATAAATATACGGAAGATCGAGGCAAGATCCTGAATGACAAGAGTCAAATATAGCCGTGAGACGAGCGCCTGCAGGCAAAGGCTTGACGAGAATTTCGTGGATTTGGTCATCTACTATGTGGCCTGCCTGCTTGAAATCTACTGGGTATATAACTTCATCATTACCATCTTCTTCGTCACCATCAGTGTCTTTGGTCTGACCACCATGTCCAGAAAAATGAAAGAACAGGGAATCGTTAGGCTGACAGCCCTGAACAAGCCAATTCATTGCACGAAGTATATTGTTCTTGGTAGGGTGAGAGACTGGATTTTGCTGGTCATCTGCACCAAAGAATAAAGTAAGCATTATTCAAACAGTCCAAGGTGTGATAGAGTCCTTTCTCATGCGGGTATGGAACACTTGCCTGTTAGAGTTACGATGTCTTCTCTACGATAGCCAAAGTTTTCCATTAAATAATTCATAACATTGTGAACATCGTTGATACATCCTCTGAGCTCTCCTTTTTGGCCGAAATAGTTAACTCCAATTAGTAAAGCTTTTCTTTTACCAGAGCAGTTTGAATATTGAAAATTATAGTTTTGTGGTGCCCCATTTCCAAAGCCTTGCATACCTTGGGGTGGAGGTGGGGGCGCTTCAGTCTTGTTAAAAATGTTCATATTAGAAAAAATGGGTTAAAAAAACCTTGTCTGTTATTCATTGGTTGTTGCTGCCACTGTCCATGTTGACCACTGAATTGTTGCGGTGGAGGATGCTGCTACAAGTGTTAATCGTTGCATGGTATGTGGTTCAATCAGTTTGTTCGTACCCCTCCATACCCACTTTGCTGGTACTGTTGCCCTGGATGACCACTATATTGTTGGTATTGTTGTCCAGCATATGCTACTGGATGCTGATATTGCTGACCTGGATATCCGCCATAACCTTGAGGGGCTCTGTAAACTCTTGTAAGTAAGTCTCTGAGAGCTCATGGACTTCGGCGAACCCTTGATTAAATCCTCCGCCCGGAACTCCCTGATACCACGACATAAAAATAGATATTCTGAAAGATGAGGTATAAAAGTGTAATTTAGAACAGTTTAATGCAATTAGATAGCTTTCTTTAGACAAGTCTTGTAGATATTTGTAGCTCAAATAGAACAGGAGTTAATGTTAGTTCGAAAGAGACACGGAGTTGATTGTGTTTCAGAAGTATCGCTAATAAACACTCATCCAACCTGGAATCAGCGAATTATCGGCCAATGTGACTGACTATGTTTTATGAATGTAACAGAGCATTTGTATTGAAAAATAGTCAAGAGTGGACCATGATGATAATTCTGTATGGGGCTTATTTAGCATCACAAGCTCTCCTGAGCAGTTTAACTAAATCAAAGACAAGCAGGATTAGGTTGGCAACTATTATCAGTACAGCGAGCCTCATCCTGGCAGAAGACGAAACCAAAAATATGGCAAAATTTTCCCTTAAATACCATCAGCCCTCACAACAGACTTTACGGAGTCGTGATCCAATCCAAAACTAACCAGCAGGGGCTTCCACTAATGTTAATTCTACGGCATTTCCCAGCAACATAGATGACAGAGCGAGCTTCTCTTGAATACGTCCAACTCTGCAGCTCTCGGCTTAATAGCCTCTCGGAACGCTTCAGAAGTTTGCTCATCTCAGATTCAATTCTAATATTGGTATTATGATAGCCCTACATCTAGTAGGTTTGGTAAGTTTACCAGATTGAAACATACTCACGAATGTGCTTTGCTTAGTTGTTACGGCGGGAACATATTTAAAGGCATTAGACACCCTTGTGTATATCATAAAAAAATGACTCATGAGAGGTGGTACTGTTGGGAGTGAGCCATAAATTTACAGGGCCTATATATGTAAAAGACCTACATGAACTATATAGTCACTGGCTGAGGAAGGACTATAATTTAAAGAAACTATTAGAATGACAATTCTGTTGGAAATCTAGGTTCAGTATATATGAAGGTTTGGAATTATAGGTATGATCATTGAGATCAATTGTATCGATTCGATTGCACATGAGTAAGCTTGACCTGGCGACATAAGTTCCAGCGATCACCTAAACCTACCGGCTGGGAAATGCTACCACGCGATAAATGAGTGGCTGGTTCTTGCTAGTTTACCATGATTTCGGGGTCACATATGCCTTAGCAATTTGTATTTAAAGATAGAATTGTGTGTGTATTTATTGTGCTATATGAGTCTCTGACTATCTAACATATTGCGCTCCTCTCTGACCTAGGCCACACCTAGTCAAGTGTTCCTTACCTCATTTGTCACTATAGAGATTTCTGATAAATTTCCCGTGATGGATAGCCATTCGGCTCGGTATTTACCCGAGGAATACAGCCACCTTTGCCAGAGAACCTTCTAGCCAAAAAAATAAAATGGTGGCAATAGAAACTGCGTGCGCGGGAAAAAGTCTCAAAAAACCTGCATCGCCATCTAGGCGAGGCTTAGACACCGGCACCACACGAGGTGCTCATATTCATCTTCTCCCTTCTTTATGACATTGGAGGCAAACTTGATCCAATCCACCATCGCCGGATCGGGTGCTGGGTACGCTCTGGAAATACTTCGGATGGCTTCTCCATCATAACCATGAGAAGTTTATGGGTGATGAAAAGGGCTTCGACCCTACCATCTGATCTGATGGTGGTTTGCTTCATGATAATGGTGATGGGGGAATGTGTTGGGAGATGAAGACGATACAAACCGCGAAAGCGATTGGGAATCCTCATCGAAGTGAGGACTTTGTTACTCAATCTCGGCACTGCAGACTGTCGGAATACTCGAGTGGTATTTATATCACAAACTTTCTGTAGCAGTAATAACAATTGGTGGTTAACATGTATCTTCTAAAAGTGGGCAAGACTGAACACCTGTATGCGGTGTCCTCTACGAACCTGGGAGTGAAATATTCTCCCAAAGCCAAGTTCAGTCAAATTTCGCTATACCGAACAAGTTGGCCCACGAGGCAATGATTCAAATTATTCAACCGCGTCAAATTTTCACTCCCAACGAGATCGACTCCTACCTAAGCCTCATCAAGTCTACAAGTACGACCTAGTACATCCTCATTCCAATGATCACACTTCTCGTCGACTTTCTCTGGCCTCAGCCGGTTACCAAATACACGCCCACGCCGACATTTATACCTGACGGAGGACACAAAGCGTGGCGCACAAATCTGGGAGATAGCTCTTTGGGATTGGCGTAAGAGGATTAAGGACAAGTTAACAAGATGATGCGATGGATGGATACAGTCTCGACAGGCGTGGAATTTTGAGTTTTGGCAAAGAGTTTTTACAAATTGAGCTTTGTGCGTGCCAAGACTTCGGTTGCAAGAGTGCAGGCGACACTATAAACATCGCCATGGTTGGATGGTGCGGTGGTACATCGTCTTGGCAGGTCTTCCAAGTAGAGTCTGGATAGCTTGGACACACATCCCACTCGAGACAGTAGATCGCTGGTTCAAATCCAGCAAAACACAACCACATTTCTCGCGGCGCTGGTATGCATGGATGACGAAGGCATGCTTGGATAACCAAAGGTTCTGAAATTCCCTTTGGCGGATACTCACGGAGGAGGGTCGACTGTTTGTGTAAGCGAACATACCTCATAGTGGTATTTGCGAAGGAAATCCAGCGTATGAGTGTCATAAACGTCAAAAGAGTCATCCAACGTGTATACATAGCACCGGTCATGTGTTACAGCTTCATAGATGAATACATTTAATCGGTAAAAAAAAAGTATCTTCAATTTCTTGACTTCTGACTACAGGAAACACGTATAAACAGCAGTTGTCTCTCTCTCCTGACACCATTCCTAAACAGGCAACTCATTACTCATCAACATAATTAGTCATCATTTCTAAGATAATACATGAAAGGTCATTTAGTCATTAGGTCATTCGACACAGACTCTACAATGAGAGCTGGAGGTTCGTAGGGGACGCCACTGACAGGTGTTGAGAATAGTCCCCCCTGTGTTCCTCAGAAGCCAGAAGCACTATCTCATTGCATATTCCAACACCTATATAATGCATAACGTTGTATTGGAAACCTAGAGGGAATGGAGAGTCAATAAGTTGAGAACATTGCTTTTCAATTTCCAATAGCTTGCCTCTGCCAATGGCGCCATCAACTTGACCTGAGATAATTCCCCGGCGTGACAACCAAAAAATTTGTCAAGAGCCGAGGATTCAGACCCTTGGTATTGAACTTCATTTTCTGTGTTTAGTTCACGATATAGGAATAAAGCGGCCACGAAGTAAGGGCGAGGTTGACATAGCACTGATGTTTCTAGTATGAAGAGTAACGAGCGGATTAGTGAGATGCTGTGATGAATGACTAAAGGGGGAGCAAAATGCATATCTTAGTAGGCAGCTGGATGAAGCCTCCAGGAAAGGAATTTACCATTTTTAATAAACAAGGTCCAGGTAATTCATAGCAATTAACACAAACAAGCTGGGGGACTATTCTCAACACCTATCAGTGGTGTCCCTTACAAACCTCCGGCTCTCACTGTAGAGTCTACAAAGTCGAGATTGAGTAACACCTTTTCAACTTTGAGCTGAGTTACCTCCCCCTCCGCCAAACATACGCTTCCGATAACACATAAGACGACCAAGACGATGATAATGATGCTGGGAATGAGGAAAGATAATGCGCTACCAAACGCTACAATGGCAGTCAGAGAAGCCCTTGTTACATTATAACATTTACGACCCACCGGCGGGCGAACAAAAGGCCCACGAAAGCAAAGTAAAAGACCCAACCGGCCTCAAGAGAAGCAGATCTCGACTCATCTACAATATCGTCCCTACTAATCTTAACTTCCGAATCTACTAGTCAAGAGGGCATCTGAAATATATGAGGTACTCGACAACCCCACGTCCGTAACGATTTTTGGATGCTAGGCTAGTGTGATGGGCGATCAACAAAACAATATATTAAAGGAATGGTGGCCGATTACTGTCTATTTTCTACATACATCTCGGAACTGTCCACCGAGGGGAGGCTTCTTAAGGTGTCCCAACGCCCAATGCGCTAACCTCACTATCTGTTCTACTACACCATATCCTTGATATTCCGAGTGGGCTTGTCATAGCAAAACTGGGTCGTATTGGCCCATGATTCCATATGAGACTTGCTGCAACAATATCTTGTTTCCATATTTGTTGCAACCCTGTATTTGTATGGCCAAGTTGGACATCTCTTTAGATAGCAAGGCTAATGACGCAATAATGATAAGTGTCCGTGCGACAGTCACTAGGAGATAGGCGCAGCCTGTAATATCTAGGCTCCTTCACGACAGTCACTCTCGACCAAGACTTTTCTGACATCCTTTTACGACCTACGATTTGTCCTGCGACATGAATCAAGGGAGGAGTAAGGAGGAGGCTAGAAAGTTTGAGGTCGCTCTTATGTATACACAGGTCTGCTGCGCCCGGCTGGCCGGCCTCTTCGTCATAGGAGAGCCCCGCACCTAGTGGTTTTTGAGAAGTTTCCCTGCAGCTATACACCCGCAAATGGCCATCGTTTCGTTGGCTGGAGAGGGGAGATAATGACGGGATAACGGCTCCTCTTGGTATGTACTCGAATGAAGACCTGTGGGGGTATTACTGCTGGAAAGAAGTCGTGAGGGAGGCAAAGGAGGGAGTACACTACCCGAGGCATAGCTACTCCTGCCCTGAAGGCAAAAGGACCTACATGTCCTTACATAGTTATAGACTCATTAGGACAATAAACATTCACTTTCCTTCCTTTCCTATGAATGCGGAGAGTTCTGGTTATCCAGTACGTAGCAATAAAAAGAAACAATAAAGGGTGGGCGCTAACGATAGAGGTAAATTTTGGAAGATGCTTTAGCCAGTGTTGTATTGATACAGAATCAGATAGCGTAAAAGACTTGTATTATATGATAGTTTTTACATCTGTGAACATTGGAATTCATTTTACACATCTGTGGGCCATATTTCGCTCACATATCACATCAAGCAATTACTTGCAACCTTCTAAACGCGATAATGAGTAATCTTAGCGTAGATGATACCCGTAAATTTTGAAGGAACCCGTTTGGGAACCCCTGAAAGAATTGACTTCTGTTAAGCTTTTTGATTCAAAGTTTTAAATTTTAAACGTTAAACTCTGTAGAGCGGCTGAGAATCGGGCTGCTTGATGGTGGTGTACGCGTTCGTTGATTATTGTCGACAATTTAGGCCGAGGCTGTAAGCGACTTGGAGAGGCCCGCAAGTACGTCACTTGATGGAGACAGTCAGACTCCAGCTTGGTAAATAGCATAATACCTGAATCAAATTTACAGTGCTCCCACCCTACCCCATCATTCATAATGTCGGCTTCGGAGCGAACTTTAAATGCACTCCAAGCCCTATTGAAATCGACCGACAAGCAACAAGGCTTTAGTGCACTTTTTGAAGAGATCTGTGTCTGTCCTTTGGCAGTCGATGCCGAGACGAATATTGCCAACGACCTTGTCGCTATCATCAATGCCATTTTCGACCAAAATCTTGGGATTGTTGCAACGCGCTCCCTCCTCGTGGTTTTGGCCGATAAGCTAAAGTCAATGCAGGCCAACCTAGTCACAATTATGGTCGGAGAGCATTTACTAAACATTCTATCGGGACAAATATCGTCATTTGAAGAGCAAAATGCTCAGATCCGCGAATTAATGGCCTCGGCATTTGAAGGCAGAGATGATCATCTAGCCGCAGCCAAAGTGTTAGCTGGTATTCCACTAGAGTCTTCGCAACGGAAGGTGACAAATGATGACAAGGTCAAGATTTGGATTCGCATTACGAGAAACTATCTGGAGGTCAATGATACAACTCTAGCAGAACAGTCCTTAAACAAAGCTAAAAATCTGATTTACACTGTTAGTGACCGGGATACAAATCTCCACTTTAACCTCTGTCAAGCCCGAATATATGACGCCCAAAGAAATTTCTTGGCTGCAGCCCAAGGTTATCATGATATTAGCTTTATGCCGATAATTGCAGAGGAGGAGCGAGTTTTAACGCTGAGTATGGCAATTAAATGTGCTGTGCTCGCTCCAGCCGGGCCGGCAAGGAGTCGTGCCCTTGGAAGACTCTACAAAGATGAACGGGCTGCCACGCTGGAAGAATTTGGGATTCTAGAAAAAATGTTTCTTGATCGGCTTCTTGGTCCTGATGAGGTGGCGAAGTTTGCCAAAGGACTTGCAATTCATCAGCTTGCTAAGACGGCTGACGGTAGTAATGTATTGGCTAGGGCTGTTGTTGAGCACAATCTCCGGGGTGTCTCATACTTGTATCAGAACATAAGCTTCAGCTCTTTGGGGAAGATATTAGGGCTAGATGATGATAAAGCTGAAGAGACGACAGCTCGGATGATTGAGCAAAAGAGATTGGTGGGTCGTATAGATCAAATTGAACGAGTCATATGGTTTCGTTGTGGAGATTGCATTGGTGAAACAGGCAATAACCAACAAATCAAGCAATGGGATGCAAACATCCACGATCTTGCTGAAGAAGTAGAAAAGGTTACATCCGAGCTTCAACTCCTTTATCCCGTGAGTGTTTCAGGGCCAATTCAAACGTGACTAGTTAACAGAGTGTGCAGGAATTTGTTGCTAGACACATGACAATCTAGGGTAGCTTGGAAAAGGCATCGGCGTTATAAAGAGGTAGTTACCAAAATTGCTACTCGTGGAGGCGTTATAAGGGATTAATATCTTTAATATTACTTCAAATTTTCTCAGCTACTCAGCCATGACATTCTATCGGCATCTTATTGATATGCTAAATGACTAATATGACTTTGGAGATATAGATACTCTGTTTTTTATCCACAAAGACCAGAATGAGACATATTTATCAACAAACTGCACTAAATTCAACCCTCGAGGTTTTAATGACGGGGATTTTCAATTCCTAAAGCTTCTCAAGAATGCTTTCATGATGTACACAATTATGACTTTTACTAGGATTAGTATTAGAATATGATTCTTTTGGACAACTGATACAGGACTACTGGAAGTAGCTTTGATAATGTATTGGCTTAACAAAATGCGTAGCGTGTATCGCGACTGCTTCTCAGCACTCTCTCTTATGCTACGACATAGCTCTCGCTACACGCTAATATGGAACTACTAATACAGGGTAAACAAGATCTCCGAACGCCTTACCTATTATGCTCCTAATGAAACAATAATCACAACAATAACTCCATTATGTCCAGGTACAAGAATAGTTATATTTGACCAACAATTCTTTTATTTAACAATTGGGTTTTGTCACGATCGAGCTAGCGATCTCCCGTTGCAAGTAGGAAAGGTATCTAACCCTACCAGACTTTGCTCGATTTACCAGCTCAGATTGTTTAGCAGTACATTATCCGAATGTATATGTTTAAGGGAGTCAATTACGAGTCCAATTTGATGGAATTCTGATTTTATTCGCAAACTTAACCAATCTGACGTCCTCCATAGTCATAGTCTCAGTAGAGACTTGTATTAAATTCTATAAATCTTTCAAACCTTCTTAGCAACATGTACGGTATTAACAGGGGTAGTTCATTAAAGCTCTACTTTCTCAAAGTCTTCCTTGATTTCTGTAGAATTTGGAAGAGCCTCAATGATTGACGCTAGCTGATCAGCAATCATAGCTCCTACCAAATCGTATCCCTTTTCAGAGAAATGAATAGTATCGGCCCATAGGAGACGACGCTGATCGGTGGGTATTTCCCAGTAAGGCATAGCTTTACAAAGGTCAAAAACATGACTGTTCATTGTTAGTGTGAGCGTGGGGAAGAGCCTGTGGACAGTTTCTGCCTACAAGTTTTCAGAGCGATGATTGCGGATAAGGGAATTTAGCGCTTCTCGCTCCGCGTTAACTTGGGATGTTGCAAGGCCAAACTCTGGGATGGTCAAGGCGAGAACAGTAGAGGAGCTAGCGAGTGGGATCTCCCAGACATTTTTTAGGACAGGCCAAATGTCTCGAGTGTGCTGCATTGAAAGCAAATCATTTGTGCCACCGAGAATAACGGCGAAGTCTACAGAGCATGATGACTCGTCTTTCGCATGTTAGCCGTAAGAATCGATATGACGCAGAAGAGCGTGGCAGGGAGAAGAGTCTGCCCACATAAAGCTTTCATTCGCGTTAGATAATTTCCGGTAACTTTGTCGCCGCCGAGTCCTTGGACTTGGACATTCACTAAATATGAGACTAGGCGCTTCGCTAGTACTGCCTGGAGAGATGTAGCATAAGGATGGTCTGGTACGTCTGTGTGTGTAAAACCTGCCGTGAGACTATCTCCGAAGCAAAGAATGTTGATGGTTTTGGGTAGGTGTGTAACTTCGCTGTTAACGGTAGCTGGTGACATCGCTATCTGACTTGCAAAGTGTGGTGCAGAATAAGCGATAAGTGAGCGAATTGACCAAAGCTGCCCTCTCGTTACGCCGATTCTTCGCGAGAACACGAGAAAAATGGTGCTGCCAGCTACTACGCATGACAAGATTTGGAAACTCTTTTAACTGATTGGGTCTCAAGTCGTGCCTGTGCCAGCAAAGAAGATTTTCACCGGCGGTTTCAGTGTAATCACTCAGCATTCTCTGTATATCCGGAATAACTAGAAGAGTTGAATCCTAATAGAGGTGGAAAGCAAACCAAATTCATTTGTGAGCAGCGACTACTCACTGTAATCGATATTTTCCTTCTCACGCGATTCCTTTGTCCCAATCTCGCCACTCACTACCTCGCCCCAACGACCGACCAGGTAATTACTCCAATTTTTAAAAGATTGAATAATTGGGGCTATCAATAAGACCACATTGTGGATACGCTCGCGACTTCAAATTCTATACTTATTGTCACTTCGGTAGTTACTTGAATCAATGCGCTCTACAATCTCAATGACTGAGGGGTCATTATTTCCTTAATACCATGCAAATGGGAGCTTGCCTCATTAATTACTGGCCATCACCCACTGCTAAATCTACGTTGCTAGGTATATCTACACAGAGGAAATAAGTCATAATATACCCAGACTGGGGTTTGGCTTATTGGTGTCTGTTGATCTAATGGGGCTATATAACTTGAGGGAGGATGTATAGCTAGGATGTGGACCAAGAGAGATAACAGTTCTTTTGTCTTTTTTTTAAATCATTTAATGTGTATTCAGCTATCTGGCTATGACACATGACCATTGCTTTGTATGCATGTCGGATGATTCTTTTGACGCCAGAGACACTCATATTCTGGATTTCATTCGCAAATACTACTGTGAGGTATGCTTGCTTACACAAACGTTCGGCCCTCTCTGAGTACCCATCCAAAGGGAAGTTTCAAAGCCTCTGATTATCCAAGCACACCTTCATCATCCATGCATACCAGGGCTGCAAGAAAAGTGGTTGTGTTTTGCCGGATTTGAACCAACGATCTACTGTCTCGAATGGGATGTGTGTCCAAGCTATCCAGACTCTACTTGGCAGACCGGCCAAGACGATGTACCACCGCACCATCCAACCATGGCGGTGTTTATAGTGTCGCCTTCACTCTTGCAACCAAAGACTTGGCACGCACAAAGCTCAATTTGTAAAAACTCTTTGCCAGAGTTCAAAATTCCACGCCCATCGAGACTGTATCCATCCGTCGCATCATCTTGTTAACTTGTCCTTAATCCTCTTACGCCAATCCCAAAGAGCTATCTCCCAGATTTGTGCGCCACGCTTTGTGTCCTCCGTCAGGTATAAATGTCGGCGTGGGCGTGTATTTGGTAACCGGCTGAGGCCAGAGAAAGTCGACGAGAAGTGTGATCATTGGAATGAGGATGTACTAGGTCGTACTTGTAGACTTGATGAGGCTTAGGTAGGAGTCGATCTCGTTGGGAGTGAAAATTTGACGCGGTTGAATAATTTGAATCATTGCCTCGTGGGCCAACTTGTTCGGTATAGCGAAATTTGACTGAACTTGGCTTTGGGAGAATATTTCACTCCCAGGTTCGTAGAGGACACCGCGTACAGGTGTTCAGTCTTGCCCCCCACTAGCGGACTCCTGCATAGGAAATTGGGCATATATCTAATTACTGATTTTAGCATGTACAAGACTCGGCTGTTGCCAGTGACGCTATAATCTTGTAATTCGGTAGCACACAGATTAACAATCTGAGGCATGAGTGCTCTTCCTTTACGTTGAATCATCTATTCTGTACTTTTCTTTGATATTGTGTCATAGCTAGATAGCTGCATACGCAATTAAAATCTGATGCAAAAAAAAAAAAAAAAGATTAACAATCTTAACGAAGGTGGTTCTTTATTTAGATGTTAAGATGTTTTGTTCGACAAATTCTGTTGCTAAAATTTAAAAAGCTCAATTCCAAAAACATTTGACCTTTTTTCTTTTTGCATCAGATTTTAATTGCGTATGCAGCTAGCTAGCTATGTCACGACATCAAGGAAAAGTACATGATAGATGACTGTGCAACCTCTTCTGTGCATACCTATCACTGGGATAAGTTTATAATCCCACGCTTATCCGAGTGTGCTTTCTTCATCCCACGAATACAATGTCACCGCGAGAGGGTGTTGTGCGGAAGGTTTTGAATTCGTATCATCTACCTTCTTTCTCAAATTGGAAAAAGTGTTCAGGCTTCCTAGAAGTACCTTGGGAGATCGGCCCGAATGGTGTACCATTGCACTATCCAACATCATAGTAACTTATACTTGTACCTGTAGCGCACATCTCACCTACTTTACGCAGTAACACGAACATGACACTCTTTTAATAAAACTCTTTCCTTTCCGTGAATATTACGCCAACTCCATAACGCAACACTTATCAAAAAGTACACACCACTCATCGCAGACAAACTCAAATAGCTACAGCCAATAAATATTCCGAAAAATCGGTAGCAAAGTAAAACATAGACGCTTAGGCGAGAAAATAAGTAAAATGTTCATCCTTGTAAGCAGGTCAAATACATTCGATAATTAACATAACTGCTAAATATTGAAGACAAAAATTGCAGACTTAGTCCAGATAGTGCCAGAAGACTTTAGCAAGGATGCGGCAAGAGCAATTGAGGATAACATTAACACAAAATATGCGAACAAGGTGATTCAGAAGGTTGGCCTTTGTATCTGCATGTACGATCTACTCATGGCATCCGACGGATTAATAGGCCACGGTACAGGTCTTGTAAACGTTAATGGTTTGTGCTTCCTTTCCACACTTCCTATAGTCATCTATTAACTGAGGAAAAGTTGAATTCCGCCTGATCGTATTTCGGCCCTTTAAGAACGAAGTAATTCTAGGAAAAATTAGTAGTTCGAATTTACATGGAATTCGAGGTGTGATTAGGCATTTCACATTCATCAAAATCTGGCTAACAGTTCAGTACGACTACCATTCTTCGATGATATCTTTGTACCAAGAGAAAAGCTTCCGAGTCCATGTGAATTGTTCGTTAACCTATAAAGCGGTTTGTAGTACCCTGACTAAGAAGAATAGTAAATTCGACGAACAAATCTACGTATGGCAAGCCAGTCCGGACTTCCCCCTATATTTCGATAAGCACGAAACAGTACGTTTAAGGATTGAGCAGGAGATCTGGACTGATCAGACGCCTATTGGACCCAAAGATGAAGAAAACTCAAAATCTGTTAGGTCTAGCCCCTATGTTTTGCATGGGAGCATGCAGGAAGCAGGTCTAGGACCATGCCTGTGGTGGGATGACGCCGAAGAGGACGTTGCCGAAGAGTGATCTCCCACCAAGGCAATACATGATGGCTACAAATTTTACAATGACTTGGCGCAAGTAGACCTGGAATGATCTCGTTTCTCACAAATATTTAAAAAAGTACATATTTCACCTCATACGATTACCGGCTCCGCCAATTCCAATACCACACTATATTATATCATACGACAGTGTATTCAATGTACAGGATCGCCGCAAGAACTTATCTCTAAAGTAGCAGAATTGACCTGGAATTTATTTCACTCACCCAATTCACCATGAAGAGAGATTTGCATTTTCAAAAGTTTGAGGTTTATCAATATTATCTTTGATTTTATAATTTCAATGGGACAGATTCTAATTTCTGTAATAAAGTAAAGGTTTGAACGTCATAGAACCCAGGGCTCTCTGGTAACTAGAAATATATATTGTTATTATACATAAGTTATGGCAAGCAAGAACTCAGTTTAAACGTAATTCAGCAAATAGGTAGAGCTTCGTCTTTAAATTATGTATGTCATTTGCTCAAGACTGAGCGAATGGTGATAAATCTACAATCAAGTCTTATATAAGACTCTATTTACGTGGGTACACTAATCGAAATCTACGTCTGTGTGCTACATTCCTAGCCACTTATTAGTACCCAAGGAAATAGTGGCGTTTTACATCATTTTGCCAGAAAGCTGCGCAGCCTTTCACGCTGCCCGTATCATCAATTTGACATCGTAATTATCATTCTTTCATCTTCATTATCCTCCCTCCCTCCACCGTTTCGCTTTCCGTGCCCCAACATGGCGAGTGTGGGTGCTGGTGTGGGTAAATCCAGCAGTTTCGACGCGTCGCAAAATGCGACAATGGCCTCAACAAACAACGGCAGCGGAGCGCAGACGGCTCCAAAGGATAGAAACTACTAAAACAGATTAGACTATTGGTGATATGAGAGATGGATGAGGAGGACTTAGCCTCAATAGAGGCTGTGAACGAGCCCGTGAAGGCCTCCAACGCACACAAAAGGGCCCGGACGGAAATGTCCCTGAAGAAGTCTCCCATCGAGGAGAATCGAAGGCTCTTGTTCTAGTATCCTACTACTGGTAGAGTAATAAGATCCTGTAACAAGCTTTAAGCATTTTCGTTGGATACTTCGCAATTGTCTGAATATCCTCTCTGTTATTTTACCCGCTGGCTCAGCTGCAGGCCATGTAGAACACCCGTAAGTCAGGGCTGGTCTTACTATCGTACTGTACAAAAGCTTTGACTTCTTGGATGTAGCACCCCAAGTTGACTGCGTCAACCTACTTATTGACTGTACTTGGGTGAGTGACTTTTGTTGGACATGCTTTATATGGGAGCCCCATTGGAGCTCCGAGTCGAAATAAATGCCAAGGACTCGAATGGAAGATTGTGGAGACGTCAGATAACCTCGTATGCTGTCAGTTGCTTCAAGGCTGTGTCGCTTCCTTGCTCGTGTGAAATGCATGAGCTAGTACTTTTCTTGCGCAAACTTCTTGCCGTACTGTACTTCATTTATCATTTTAGTTGCGGGCCGAACACTCGCTGATTACACTTGTGTACGGCCGCTAGTCAGCTCCTGCACACACAAAATTCCTTCAACAGATATGGCAAATATTACAAGGACAACTCGAACA